GTGTGAAGAAACATGTTCTTCTTACGTCCACTCATAGTGTCCCTGATTCCTGTTGCCTCACTTTTTCTAGCAATTAGTTAATGCTGCCTGGATGACCCATAACCCTGCATTTCACAGAGTTACATGTTGGCGCTATATAAAATAAAATTGAATTCAATTGAATTGAACATACCCGTATGGAAAAGAAATAGTAAAAACATATATGATTTACTCATGAAAGTGGCCACTTTCTCATTACTTTCATATATTTTTTTAGTAAGTATACAAAACATACAAGTTTCATTATATAATTTTTCAAGGGATCTTATATCTGTTTTCACTCTTGTATGCTTTTAATACAAGTTTCATACAAGACAGATAAAAACTTTATAAGATTTATATATATCTTTTCCATATGGGTATAACTGGTGAAAATTAAATCAGATTAACTGAAAAAAATGAGTTGACTTAAATAAAAAAAACTTTAATTTAACTGTAGCATAAAAGTATTTATTAAACATAACAGCTGCAACTTTGAGCTTAATGTAAAAATCTGTTTCCTTAACAACCAACATCTGCCATCATCAAAGCAGCAGAGGAGCCAGTAATTCATCTTAAGGTGTTGTGGTGTTATTCCAACAGATGTTGGCTCTGCAGCATCAGTGCTGGAACAACTCATATCTTAAAATTATAACATTTAATTTAAAAACAAGGATACACAAAAATATTCTTTCATTATTATTAGTAGTAGTTGTTGTTATCTGGGGGAACTTTAATATAAAGGATTACATTTGTCAGATTTACACAGCTGAACTCTACACACCTGCTGCTCTGATGTTGAAGGAGATCCTGTCACCCAGTCATACGACTCTCTGCCTGCTGGTCCAAACCTCATCCAGCTGCTATCCACTAGCCCCCGCATGATGCTGAGGTGTGTGTGATTGATGTTGGATGGTGAAATATATGTTTACAGAGTAAAGACCGGCTCGAGCTGTTGGTCCGGATGTTTCGGGAGTAAACAAAGCTGAGAGCAGGGCGGAGATGGCTGCTGATCGGGGGGGAGGAGGGTGTTTGGAGTCCGGTGAAATGAGTAAAACTGGGGTCAAACGGTTGGTGGGAGGGGCCACATGCTAAGCAGCTGCTCACATGCTCGCACATGCAGGCTTTATACTCCAGCCGGGCTTATAAGAATATTAAGTATATATGAGCATGTGTGTGAAAAGCTTGGTTACATAAAAAGGCGGGGCTTCACTTTACACCAAACCTCAGACACATGGACATAATCGAGAAATAAATCAATCTGAGAGTGAAGTTACGCACCTGTTACAAACTATTTGTGTATTACTATTTATTGCTACAAAATTACAAAACATTCATGCATTTATCCATTTTCTTAATCATTTGTCCGAACCAAGGGGTGCTTTTAGAAACATTTGCTAATTTAGTTCAAGTGTAAAACAGAATTCCCTTATTCCAAGTTTTGTCAGCCTTAATTCAGCCATTTTTACAGCAGTTACAGTTTTAAGTCTTCTTTGACAAGCTTTGGACACCTTCATGTGGGCGGCATCGACACCAGCATCACATGTGAAAATCCTCTCAGACTCTGTTTCAGACTTCACAGATCATAAGAAGTCTTGAGTCCCCCGGAGATGAAGCCTGACTTTCAACCCAGGTTTACAAATCCGCAGACTCGTTGCTCACTCTGGTTTAAATCCCCAACAGGCCTTCGGTCAGGGGATTTTAAGCAGCCATCAAGCTCTGACTGATGATGGTGCTCATACAGATGAGCATGAGAGTGATCACCTGAGCAACTCTTTGTTCTACAATGTCGTGCCTATGTGCTTATATACAACTTTTTTGAATTCAATTCAATTCAATTTTATTTATATAGCGCCAAATCACAACAAATGTCGCCTCAAGGCGCTTAAAGCAAAGTATCATTAAATATTCTGTTTCATTTTCAAAGAGATTTTCCTAGTCTGTCAATTCAGTTGAATTCAACTTTCTTTATATAGCACTAAACCACAGTCATTCACAGTTGCCTCAAGGCAGTTTATACCGTAGATGCTAGCATGATGGATGCTACAGAGTTTAATGAATAAAAACTTGGTGACAGTCTGTAGGTCTCTTCAGTATTAATAAGTAGTGAAAGTTATGAATTACAAAAGTATCCCATTACATTGTTACATTGTGACATTACATTATTATGCCTTTGTGTTGTCTCATATGCTACATGAGTACTATAGCATAGGTATAGAAGTCCCACCTATGTGATAGATATATTAATAGATTTTATGTTAATAGATTAAATATCCTAATACTTAAGTAAAGTGGTAAATGGAGTGGTTCTTATATAGCGCTTTTCTACTCATCTGAGCACTCAAAGCGCTTTACACAACTTGTGCATTCACCCATTTGCACAAGCATATTTTTCTAAGTGCTTCATAGCTAACATTCACACACATTCATACACCGATGGATGCATCGGAGAGCAATTTGGGGTTAGTATCTTGCCCAAGGATATTTGGCATGTAGACTAGGGAAAGCCAGGAATCGAACCACCAACCTTCCGACCAGTAGATGACCTGCTCTACCACCTGAGCTAAAGCACCTCAAGTACATAAGTAGGAGACTTCAACCTTAAAAACTCACCTGTGTCAAGGCTTCATTCACCGAACTGGTGGACTCTGAAGTAGGACCTGACTTGGATTGGCAGGTTAATATTAACATTCAAAGTGTGTAACAAGGTCATCAAGAGGCAAGAGTAGGAAATGGAGTCAAAGTTGTTCACACCTTCACTGATGTACATTTTTTCTTGCAAAGTGCAAGTACTTAGGAAAGTGTATTCGTGTATGTTTCCAGTTGGGTCCTTGAGCATTAATCTTTCTGTTGGCTTACGGGAAGAAAGTGTTGCACAGTCTGACACTGGGGACCTAAATACTTTAGTCCCTGATGCCAGATGGCAGGAGGCTAAAGCGTTGGTATGAGGCATGTGTGGGGTTGTCCTCAGTGTTAGTGGCTTTTCAGATGCAGTGTGTGTGGAAAAAGTCTGCGATGGAGGGGAAAGTGACTGCATAATGAAATAAAGATACAACAAAGGAGGCGCAGAACTGAGCAACTAAAATATCAAATGAGTGTGAAAATATTCACCTAACATACGGGTGTCTCATTTTTAGTAAACTCGTTTTGTTTGTTGATTGTGAGTGCTGCAGATTACACTACACTGCACTCAATTACATTTTTTTTTTCACTTTTATTTGAATGGTGTATTTCTTTTCATTTAACAAATAGCACCCAGTAACATCGGCTGTCCCGCTGTACAATTTAAGATGTTTCACAAAAAAAATGCAGCTCACAGTGTTGATCAGTGATTTATTTACACATCTGCAATCCAGCTGCAACATCTGTGTAGAGGGAACCCAATGGGATGCTCGATGGCTTCTCTGTCGAAGGGTTCGGGGAGTTGAGGGTGGGGAGATTTAGCAGCGAGTAGGATTTGTCACAGCTGGATTAGTGATATGGGTGTGCAGAAGGCAGCTGTAATACAGGCTCACGTGGAGTGCCGAGTGGTCAGAAATCCAGGAGGCTGGGTTCATGCCTACAGAGGTGGAGCGAACAGTCATGACACCACAGGTTTTTATTCTTTTTGCCAACTAAATGTTACAAATCTTATTCTTTTTAATACAAAAAGTACAAATTTTACATTTTTTTTCTCAACTTCTTTAGCACAATTCTCACAGCAGTAATGTCACTCTCATTAATCTTAGTGAAGCTCATAGATCAGTTAAGGCAGTCCTCATTTATTAGGCATGTCTGTTCAACTGCTTGTTAAGACAAATATCCAATCAGCCAATCAAGAAGGAAATCAAGAAATGGCCAAGAACATTTGCTACGTTCAAACAGAGCATCAGGAAGAAAGGTGAGATGTGTTGTGCTTTCAGTACATAGTTTGTTTGTAATGAGTAGTTATTTGAATTAGTGTTGCCTTCCTATCAGTTCTCTTATGACATCAACAAGGTACAGTCCCGATCAAAAGTTTAAGACCCCTTGAAAATTGGCAAAAATTCATATTTTGCATGGTTGGATCTTAACAAGGTTCCAAGTAGAGCTTAAACGTGCAACAAGAAGAAATGGGGGTGAGACAAAACATTTTTTGAGCATGCAATTTATTTAAAAAAACAAAAACAAAACAACAACAACAATTAAACTGAAATGGGCTGTTTCTACAGCTGATCAAAAGTTTAGGACCACACCTCCAAAAATCCTGTTAAACCCAACAGAAATCAAAGTTTCAAACATGAACTCAGTAATGAGTAGCTCCACTGCTATTATTGATCACTTCAATAATTCCTTGTGGTATGCTTGATGCAAACATTTCCATGAGGTCAGTGGGAACAAGTGGTGAAGACGGTCGCACAAACGACATCTACTGTCTGGAACTGTTGTCCATTTTTGTAAACTTCCCTTGCCATCCATCCCCAAAGGTTCTCAAATGGATTTAGATCAGGGGAACATGCAGGATGGTCCAGAAGAGTGATGTTATTCTCCTGGAAGACGTCCCTTATCCTGCGGGATTGTGTGCTGCTGCGTTGTCTTGTTGAAAAACCCAGTGGTTACCACACAGACGAGGGCTCTCAGTCATCAGGGATGCTCTCTGCAACATCTGGACATAGTCAGATGTTGCACGCCCCTGCACCAGTCTTCAGTCTCAGTTGCCATCTGATGGTTATGGAGCTGCAGTCGGCACCCAACAGCCCGACAGCCAATTGGATACTCCGGCTCAGTGCTGGGGAATTTTTTTGGGTTCTTCCACTTGACTTTTTTGTTCCATAACCGTCAGGATCATTTAAGAAAATCCTAATGACTGTCTTACTGCGTCCCACCTCAGCAGCAATGGTGCGCTCCGAGAGACGCTGCTTATGCAGTTCAACAACCCGCCCATGTTCAAAAAGGAGAAGGCTTTTTGACTTTGCCATCAGAACATCATGACAGTGTGACTATCTTACAGAAAATGGCAATAAATCCACATTTTTGCACAGATTTGACCTTTTAAAGGCATGTGGTCCTAAACTTTTGATCAGCTGCCTGTTTCAGTTTAAGTGTTTTTTTCAATAAATTGCATGCTCATAAAAAATGTGTTGTCTCACTCCTATTTCTTCTTGTTGCATGTTGAAGCTATACTTCAAACCCTGCTAAGACTCAACCATGCAAAATAAGATTTTTTTTTGCCATTTTTCAAGTGCTCTTAAGCTTTTGATCAGGACTGTACATTTACCGAGAGAACTGCTGGGTAAAGATATCTTGGAACTGGATAACTGGATTTTTCTCATTTCAGACCATTCCATGTAAATGGCTGTGCAGGAAAATCAGGCTGTGTGAGATTAATGATTCAATCCTCTTTCTTCCTTATTCTGATGCTCAGTATGAAATGCAGCAAGCTGTCTTGACCATGTCTACATGCTTTAAAGGCTTTGAGTTGCTGCTGATGTAAAAGGATTATTGGGATGAGCAGTGGAACAGGCGTACCTAATAAAGTGGTTGCAGAAGGTGTGTAGCGTGGCTTTATTTGACTGTACAGTAATTAGTGCTATGTTCTCAGATTTTATATATTTTCTTTTTTGTTTTCTGATGCATACAGTTTCACGAGTATCATTTTGATTTTCTCCATTTCATCAGTTTTGTAAAGCTGCAGAAAATCCTTCAGATTTAATTTTCGTGTCTGAACAATTTTTACTCTGTATTAGGCCTCCCTTTATGTCAGTAAGGTTATGAGAGAAAAAAAAACATTTTAAGGACTCATTTTAAAAAAGGGCAGTGAAAGGTTTTTATCCATTCATCACAGAGTTCAAGTTATTGACTGACTATTCATGTTCTGACATATGTTAAAAAGGTTTGAAGGAGCTGGGCTACAGCAGCAGAAGACCACACCGGGGGCGTGTCTGTCAGCTAAGAACAGGAAATTTAGGCTACATTACAAACCGACTCACCAAATTGGCCAACAGAAGATTGGAGAACGCTGTGCTTTAATTCCTCAAAGGTCCCCAGACCTCAGTCGGGCTGTAGTAAATGGTAAATGGTCTGTATTTATATAGCGCTTTTACTAGTCCCCCCCCTAGGGACCCCAAAGCGCTTTACACACCCAGTCATCCACCCATTCACACACTGGTGGAGGCAGCTACAGTGGTAGCCACTGCTGCCCTGGGGCAGACTGACAGAAGCGAGGCTGCCATATCGCGCCATCAGCCCTTCTGGCCAACACCAGTAGGCGGTAGGTGAAGTGTCTTGCCCAAGGACACAACGACCGAGACTGTCCAAGCCAGGGCTCGTAACCTTCCGATTACAAGGCGAACTCCCAACTCTTGAGCCACGATCGCCCCAGAGTAGAGCACCTCTGGCATGATGTGGTCAAAGAAGAAATGTGGATGAGCAGCTGACAAATCTGCAGCAACTGTGTGATGCAATCCTGTAAATATGGAGCAAAATCTCTGAGAAATGCTCCCCACACCTACCTGAATTTGTACCACAAAGAATTAAGGCACTTTTTATATATCAGTTTCACTGTTACCACTGACAGTTTGTTGTTGTATTTGCTCTTTCAAAAAGTTTGAAGTACTCTGATTGAAAACACAAATGCAATGCTGCACAGTACTCAAGAAGGTGAACGATCTAGAGTTGTGACTGAGAAATGTTTCAATGAGTTGTCAGATTCAAGTGAGAAGTGCATCGACGCAGTAATAAATATCTTTAATAAATATCTTTAATAAATATCTTTCGTATTGAAGCGTACAGAGAACAAACAATAGTGTGTACAAAAACAATAAGAAAGGCTAATGTGAGTGAAAAAATGTGTAACTGATTTGAAGGACTATGATTAAGAGTAGTCGGAAGAATTTTTCTGCTGTGAGCATTACACCAAAGCGTTTAAGACAAACTGTGAGCAGCTCTGAGGGCAAAAAGGGATTTAATTTACCTACTAAAGTGGTCGATGAGTGAGTCAAGTCAAGTCAAGTTGCTTTTATTGTCATTTCAACCATGTACAGTACAGAGTCAACATTCCTCCGAGACCCTGGTGCTACATATGACATATAACAGACAAACACAGGACTACGTAAAGTAATGTCCAAATATTGCTAAAAAAAAAACAAGACAAGGCAGTGCAACACTAGACAGAAGAGGAGAGTGTGTGTGTGTGTGTGTGTGTAAGAAAGAGAGAGATGCTTGGTAGTGACATGTATGAAGGTATGTGTGTGTGTCAGTCCACTGTCACTGACAGTGAGGCCTCGAATGCTCCCGTACCTCCTTCCAAAAGGCAGCAGAGTGCAGAGTGTGTATGAGAGGTGTGTGTCGGGTCCTCCACAATGGTGGTGGCTTTGCGGATGGAGCAGGTGCTTTAAGTATAATATATGAATGAATGTATGTACACATGTGAATCAAGAAAAACTGTAAACTTCCTTCTACTTACTACGTGTACTACGTACTGCCCACCTTCACCCAGTACGTGACCTGCCCAACCAGAGACAATTTTTTAAATCTCTAAAGCAATTAATGTATATTACCTATATTTAATAATAATCTATATATACTTAATATTATGCACATAAAGTGCATAATGTTTATACACACACACGCTTTGTGTTGCTGACATGTCTGATTCAATATTTTGCATCAACGAGCTGCATACTTCTGTAGACTTTTTGTCTGTTTTTGCACATGCACATTTGCTTTTTTGATTTCAGGAATTCTCTAAAGTTTCAAATAAATCCGTTACATTTCACTTCTATGTCTGAACTTTTTTCTTAACTTTTATTTCTCCACAATAGGCTTTTTTTTTTTTTTTTTTGGAAAAAAAAATGGTGCCCAAGTCTTAAAACGTTGTTGGTGTTAAAATGTTTTCATTCATTGATCGGAGAGCTGATGTGAAAAGGGTGAGTCTATGTTGTGAAAAATACCTGTGTTATGAAAACTGTTTTGAGAAAAGCGCGTCAAGTGATCGAGAAAATGTGTGCGCTGTCTAAAGCTTTTGTTTTGAAAATACAAGTGCGTCTTCCGTTGACGTCGCCTAGGTGTTTTCCAGGTAAATGTGGTCGGTTGTATGCGCTTAGACACATGCCGGAGTAGGAGTTGTTAATGATGTGAGTCCGTATCGGCAGATTTGTGGTGAAATATAAAAGATTTTTTTTATAAACTCGCAGATGAGAAATTACACGTGTTGTTGTGACAAGTCTGTTTCTCGATGAGGGCAAGTTGACGTTTTATTAGTTTTATTTGCCTCCTCGGCTCTGAAGAGGAAGTTTAATTTAAATAGTCGGTATCACAGCCTCGAGGTGGGAACGATGTCTCTGAGCGATGAGTTGACTGTTCTGCTCCTTCTGATCAGCGGGGTTTCTGCTGTGAGTGGTATGTAGACCCTTTTAAGTACTTACCTGAGAATCACTGTTTTTTCAAACCTTGGGTTCAATAAAATTAACAAGTTTATACACCGAAGAGTACGTACAAAGTTGATCTGTTTTGCGCTGCTTTAAGGGCAATCATTAATCATACGTTCACTTAATAAAGTTTTATTTATGTCACCATGTAATTTAAAGTTCCTGGCATGTGTCTAACGAGCTGAGCACAAAAGGAGAAAAAACAGGAAAAAAGTGGACATTGTTGCACGTGACAAAAATATGGTGATAAAAGTAACAATCAAACTGCTACAAATATGTAAAGACTATGACTTAAAAGTTATTACAACACCCAAAAGACGTGTGAAGGTTA